TTCTTTCACTCTAGACAAAAAGAGGTCGTTCCTTGTTGCTTTTGCGATATTTTTGAAATTTATGCTTAGGTGCTTGTTGCTTTCTATGAAGTTAACATAGTGAAAATCGCCATCTTCCTCTTCCGCATTTTGCTGTGGGAGCCGAGAAATAAAATCTGCGGAATTAGAAACACCCTTTATTTATTTAATAGAGTAATTAAACCCTGACAAGATGACTGCCCAGCGCTGCATCCGAGCCGCCGCCATCACTGGTAAACCCTTGTTCTCCCCAAAAATTGTTAGAAGCGGTTTGTGGTCAGTTTGGAGCGTAAAATGATTACCTAAAAGCTAGTGCTTTAGCTTTGTCACGCAAAATACAATTGCTAACGCCTCTTTTTGAATCGTGCTGTAATTCCTTTCGGCTTTCGTGAGTGCACGTGAAATAAATGCGACGGGCTTTTGTACCCCATACTCAAAAGAATGTGATAAAATTCCACCCACAGCGGAATTTGACGCGTCTGTCGTCAAAACTATGGCGTTTTCGGGATTGAAATGCGTAAGCACACATTCAGATATACATAATGTCATGTTTTAAGAGCTCTTAAGCCTCTTGACAGACCCTCGTCCACTTAAAGGGAACATTTTGTGTGCAAATTTAGGGATGAATTTCGAAAAATAATTCACCATTCCAACAAAAGCTCTTACCTCGGATACGTTCTGTGGCACCGGTGCATCTACCACAGACTTGACCCGATCTTTTGGTGAGACCATTGCGATCTATATTAAATCCTAAATACGTAATTTGGTCTTGAAAAAAATTACACTTACTTGCGTTTAAACGCAGTCCAACTGCTCGTAGCTTGGTTAGAACCGTTTCTATAGTTTTGACGTGATCGCTAAAATCGGAACCGGTAATAGCGATATCGTCTAAATAGTTCACGATATTTGGAATACCTCTCAATATGTTCTCAATAGTTTTTTGAAATATGGCTGCGGCTGATTTCACGCCAAAAGGCAATCTGGTCATTTTAAAAATACCAACGTGAGTACTCCACGTGCATAGCATTTGCGATGCTTCATCCAGCACCAGCTGGTTATACGCGTTGGAGAGATCTAACTTCGAAAACAATTGACCTTGCATAGACGCAAATAACTCGTCAATGCGCGGCAATGGATACCTCACGTCGCTTAAATATTGATTGATGGTCGATTTATATTCGCCACAAATTCGCAAATCACCGTTTGGCTTGACAACTAGAACCAAAGGTGTGCCCCAATCCGAGTTATCGACCTGCACTAAGACTCCTTTGTTGACTAAGTCAGTAATTTGCTTTTCAATTTTATCTCGCCAAGCTAGTGGAACGGGGCGCGGTTTGCAAAAAATTGGCTTCACTTCCTCCACAAGACTCAACTTTACCTTGTTTACAGTATACGTACCCAATCCTTCTTCAAAAACTTCACTATACTTAGTTTTAATATACTCGACTATGTCTTCGTGTTCTAAAAGGGGATTGATTTGCGAAAGCCCCAAGCCGCATATTTTCATAAAATCCCGCCCTAAAATGGGTGGGCCACACGAGTTGCTGACCACCAGACGCAAGACATGCGACTGATCCCGCGTCTTATCCATTGCCATAAACTCACCCGCTACATCGATTTGGCTGCCATTGTACGTGCTGAGGTTTTCGCTACACGGTTTCAACTCGTTTTGGTGAAAGTACTTGTCGTAAATAACTTTCGGTATCAGCGAGCAGGCTGCACGGGTATCTAACACGAAACTAAGAGGCACGTTGTCGACTTCTACAGCGAGTGTGAATGGAGAAGACGCCTGTCCTTTAGCAATGCTGTTAATAGACAGATCAGAAACAAATTTAAAACTGTTTGTCTCTCTAATGCAAGTGTTATCTTCATTAAGTTTTGATACTTCCACTAAATTTACATGTCTTTTACTGCAGATACTCGCCAAATGTCCCACGCTGCCGCACTTATGACACGTGCTGTTCTTAAATTTGCATTTCTCACTTGTGTGCGACTTCCAACCGCAATGGCTGCATTTCTTCTTCGCCTTCTTTTGATTGTTGTTGCGGTTTTCGGGTGCTGCGGCCATGTTCGCATTGCTCTTGTTGAAGGTCTTTTGGTTTCGCCGCGACACGAAATTTACTTCACTCTCGTTGCAATGCACGTGCATTTTGGTTTCTGCCACCATAGCTTTCCGTAAAGCTTGCTCTAAGGTTAGGGTCTCTTCCTCCTCCCACAACTTTTCAAAAATTTTGCCCTCGAAACCGGTTACAAATTTGTTAAGAACAAATGCGTTTAGCTGACCTGCAAACTTGCAATCCTTTGCCAGCTTCTTAACGCGCGCAAACCAGGCAGCTACATTTTCGCCCGCTGCTTTCTTAGCGTCGAAAAATGTTTGCCTTTCGCGGAAGACTATAGTTGGCTGCGAATAATGACGCTCCAATAGACTGCATAAGCTACTATATTCCTTCGTGGCTGGTAACACTAATAATAATAATAGATTGGCGCTTACACATATGTTAGTGTTTGGCCGAGCTTCTCCTCCGATTTGTGGCGTGCGCCTTGATGTTGTCACACAAGGGGAGGGACCTACAGTTTTACGCCGACTCCGAACGGCGATTGTATTTTTATGAGAAGCTGTTTTTCATGGCAGAAATACACTCGGAGGTTTGCCATTGCCTGCCGAGGGAGGTAACACTGGATCGCATAAATCTCGCAATAGACCATATGCTCTAGGCGCACTGCCTTCAGTAACACCGACGATTTAATCTTATCGTCTTCGCAGGCAGTTTCAATAAAATCGGAATCCAGCAATTCCTTCCAATTGCTCCAATAGACTGCATAAGCTACTATAGTCCTTCGTGGCTGGTAACACTGGATCGCATAAATCTCGCAATAGACCATATGCTTCTAGGCCCACTGCCTTCAGTAACACCGACGATTTAATCTTATCGTCTTCGCAGGCAGTTTCAATAAAATGGGAATCCAGCAATTCCTTCCAATTGCGCCAACTGTCTACTCCTGGCCGAAATTCCCTTATGCCGGTTGTCGTTGGCAAGGCTGCCATTATGCTATCATTAGTGTACCGCAGACTAAGATTCGAATTATCTGCGCCTCCGATAACCTGTTTAATTCGTTTCAGACACAACGTTCATTTTCCTTTACATTTTGCTCTTAATGCTAATACGGCGTTTACACGTTTTGTTTATTTATAATACTAATACGGCGTTTACAAGTCTTGGTTATTCATAAGGGCTATACTCCACATTTATGAAAAGTGTTTAGGCTAAGGGTAAACCAAGCGAAACAAACGAAGAAAATTCAATAGGGATTTCGAATTGATTGTACTCTTCTTGATTTTATTTATATTAAAAAATAAAATGAATCGAAGTATGTATTTTCTGCAAGTTTTCTCAACAGATGTTGTAGCCGAATGGATATTTGCATTTCAATGAAAATTACTTCTTTATTGTATGTGATGTCTTCTTGATTTTATTGAAAGTTTTTTTTCTTACTTTTATGTGATGCCTTCTTGAATGTATTGAAAATGTAAATTCATATAATTAAATAAAATACTGTCGGCACAAGACAACACGTGCAGAAAACAGCACTCAGACTACATGCCGTCCATTGTACTGTTTCATGTCCCTTTTAATCTGTTTTAGATCTGCACGATTTACGAATAGACCTAAGCAGATTGTTGGGTGTCAAAGAGCTCAGGTTTTCGTCTCTCAACACACCGCGGCCAAATGCCTCTTACCTTATTCTTGTAAAGGCTGAGTAGAAGCACAAAAAGTGCTCCATCGTCTAATCTTCTTCAAGGTAGGATGGGCAAATGGAGTTGTCGTGTACGCCTATCACAATCAGGGTTTGTGCCACGTTAACTGGCCCGGCAGCAGTCCAGCAAGTTTTCTTCAGTCCCGTCTACCCAATGAGGGCAAAAAACTAGATAAGACCTTCTCAGATTGAAACCAACATGGGTTTTCCCTTCTGCAGCCCCTCGATTCCTTCTAGTAATTTCTGAACGACGTATTCACCCAGTTTCAAATGATGGCTTCGATGGTCGAAGGTGCTATAACTGGTTGCGTACCGAGAAATGCATGGTCTGAGCCAATTCTGGCCAAATGGTCCTTTAGTAGTTACTATGCTGTTTTCTACAATAGTTTTTTTCTGTTACAGTGTTTTCTAATATTGTAGCGGACTACAGGACATACAGGGTGTCCCAGAAGTAACGTGCCAAACTTTAGGGGAAGGTAGGTGGGGGGGTAAGCTCCCTGATAAACAAAAAATTTTCAGGTAAGTGTCACCGTTTTTGAAATATTTACATTTTTTCGAATTAAAAAAAAATCGTGCCTTTTCATGTGTTCTTTAACTGCAACTACAAACCGGGCAATACTTAGTAAATTTTTTATGTAAAATACTTCCAAATAGTTGCCTCTCCATACTCAAATGCAATGTAGGTAAAATATATTAAGGAACCATCATAAAATTAGGACTATTTCTGGATTTTTAACTTTTTGATATTTTCTGTACTGATGTACTGAGCTATAACTTTACATTACATAAAAAATTGCTCCTTTAATAAAGATTTCAGAAAGGTGCCACACTTACTGTTTTGAATAGAAAAAAAAAGTTATAGCCGCTTTTGTGGGTAAAGGACTGAGACACGCTCAAATTGTGCCCTCTAACATGAATAATTGAGACCTCACTATACGGACCTAACCCGCGACTTGATATTGTCACACAAATGAAGGGACCTGCAGTTTAACGCCGACTCCGAACAGCCAATTGTGTTTATTTTTATGAGAAGGTTTGTCATGATTGTAATACACTGGAAGGTTTTCCATTGCCTGTCAAGGGCGACCGTTATTAGAAAAACGCTTTTTTTAATGTTGCTGGTGCCAGGTATTGAACCCTGGACTTACCGAGTGGCATTTTCTCTAACCACTCGGTTAGTTTACTCATATTTATAAATTAATTACAGATAAAATCTACCAACTTACCCAGAAGAATTTGCAATGGTGCCCAATTCGGATTTTCACAAATTGTTATTCTTGATAACTCATCATAGTTGGCCACGGCTTTTATAACATCGAGAACTGCTTGAAGAGCTTCTATCTCGTGCGGGTTGATATAACGGCTTAAGTGGACTTTATAAGATGGTTCACCGCTATTACAATGCTCCTGTCGCAAATTTCTAAAGATAGAGCAGAATATTAACATTAAGTTATTTAAGAATATATTTTCACAAATATGTTTTACAGTTAAATTAGGGTGAACAATTTTTATGTTGATTTTTTGCATGTTGGTGAATTCGTTTTTAAAAACTGCTAGGATAGTACCAAGGAATGCAAAACTTGATTTACATGAATCAGGTGGTTGTGGAATCACCGCCATCCCGAAACCAAAGGTGGACAAGGTTTTTGCTAACTCAGAGAAATAGCCATTTTAGGGCCTCGACCATAATATCTTATGAGGACTTTGCTCCATCTCATAACAATTTTTTTTACAGAGGATTGAAACTTCCTCTTTGTAGTGAAAATTCTATAATTTTTCGTGTTACATTATGTATTTTATGTAGAAAAATTTGCAGTTTTGCATTACTATGGGACATTTTACCCCCCTATATATATATATTTTTTTTTGAATTTTACCACAACGCAATCAAAGGTAGGTGCAGGATTTAATGTTTTATTTGCCGGTACAGAAATAGATAACACAAAAACAGTTCATATCAAAATACAGTACATATTTGGTGGGGTGCGATAAAGCCATGCGAGATAACGCCATATGGCCTTATC